GGAAGGTATATTTTGAGCTGCATCTTAGTAGACCTTTCAAGAAGCAGCCTGAGTCACTTGCGAAAAAGTTCTCCAAAACATAATAAAAGGATCGGTTTGATCCGACCCGCGCAAGCCAGTTCAAAAGACTCAAGAAACCATCAAAGAATCTCATAGGCGACCAATAAACCCGGGTGTCAAAACTGCCAAATATACGCCGAATTGGCAACTTTGACCCCCAAAATGGGGGGTAAAACTTCGAGATAGGGAGAAATGCCCATTGACACTTTTGATCAGTAGGTTAAGACCTACAACATATCAAAACGCCAGCCGATTTAACCGGGCCCACTTTTCCCATAAGACCGGTCCGTCGTCCTTTCATGAAATCCAAGATGAACGAGTCGAAAGCTTCTTTGATTTGATGTTAAACATTCCCTGTTTAAAATATCATTTCATTTCATATGAACCATCAATTCAGCATCTAAGCAGATTGTAAGTAATGTCTTCAAAATTTGAATTGATTACTGAAAAATTTGCAAAGCACACATGCAAATTTGTGGATTACTTTACACAACCTGAGGAAGGGAACTCAACTCATTGTCTACAAGAAAATCCCATTTCTTTTGCTGGTTTCTAGAAATTCACGTTTTTCCAGTGGAAAGGCCGTGCAAGCTCAGAGATAATAGAACATACTAAAAGATTCTTAAATATTTACTAGAGAAAGGTGGCAGGGAGCATTGCATGCTCATCTTGAACTAAAAATTGTTACTATTCACTAGAATTTCATCCGACTCTTGAAGTTCGAGGTGTGTGCAGAAGGAGGCGGATAACTTGACAGAAATTGATGAGAGTCAAAATAAAGAATAAAAGCAAAAGAAGCAACACATACCAAATCATTGGATAAGCGTCGGATACGACGTACCTTCTCGTCGGTTGCATGATAAGAGGCGGGTGTGTTGGAAGCTGCAGAACCACTGCTCACTTTCAAGGGGCGTTTTTCCATGATTCAAAAAGTACATAATTCTAGAACAAGGAATAAATGCAGCAATATGTAATGACTAACAGTAAAAAAAATATAAAGTGGGCCTTTGGCCAACTAAAAATAAAAGACAAACATGCAGGGGGTACCCCAGACATCCATGGGCATATGATATACCAAGCCTGCATCAGATTGTGGCATCAGCAGATTGTGTAATTGAATTTGTCTACATGAGAAATCTCATGATCAAACTAATTGAAAAACATAAACAAAACATCCTATAAGGAAAAAAGTAATAATTACTTTATTCATTGGTAATTCCAGCACCATTACTTAAGCTCATTTGAAATGGTGTAAATAGAACACGATCTTAACCTCGAGATACTAGAAGTTCCAGGAAAATGATTTGCTAATACCTCAGCATGGAACAAAATAAATAATATTAGGATATTAGAGAGAGTATTTTGAGGGGTGTGGACAGGATCTTCTGGTTCTGAAACCTGACATTACTATGTAGTATTTAGAACAGACAGAGAAAAACAAATACAAATTAAGAGGTAGACATTGTATGTCGTATGTAGATACAACTGTCAGGAATTGTTTTTGTCACCCCTTACCAGTGGTGCTATCTGATTCTATGTATTGGCCTGTCGGTGTTACTAACGGGAGAAATCGTGCCAAATCGTATATACCTTTTCGCAGGTGTACTTTTGGACTGTTGCAGATTCTTGCCGTAGGACGCGCTGTCGTCAAGTGTACCTTTCGCTGGTAGTGTGCCTTTCGCCGCCATTGCTGTTTCATCGTTTATCAACTTTTACCAATGTTTCTCTCTCCCGGAAAATAGAAATAGTAGTATAAATCTTTGCAAGGGATTTCTCTTTAATGAGACAGAATGATGAGGTTCTGATTCCTCTCTTGACTTCATAATTTGGTCTTGCTTGATTCTTATGAAGCCTTTTTTCCTCCCTATAAAATAGTGAATTTCCTTCGGCAAACACACCAATATGCTGTCAAATGTGAAACATTTTGAGGTGTTTCAAAATAATTCCTCCTGTTAATTGCTTTCTTCAAAGGACAGTTTTCAAGTTTAAGAAAAGTAAATATAGTATAATCCTCTGTATGACTTCTAAATTAAGTCATCTTCCCATTTCGCAATTGGGCATTGAAAACTGATATTTATAAAAAGAAACTAAAATTAATATTAACAAAGAGACTATAAATAAAATTAAGATTTTCGAAAATATTATCTTTTTTTTTCAATATAAAATTGTCCATAAATTAATCAGTAGGTTCATCCACAGGATGATACTGAATGTGCCGCTTTAAATTGAGCTCCCTTCAAAAATAAAATCTTACTATCTACACTATTTTAACTTCAGTTTCCTGGAAGATTTAAGTAAAAAATTGCTGAAGCTTAAATAAAACTAGAGGTGAGTAATATGAAACTACTGGTTAAATATTATTCAGATTCTACGGCTCAAATGGTTAAATGTCTTGACAGAGTTTATTAAAGAAATGGACTCTTCAATACTGCTTGGGACTGATTCTTCATTTCTTCGCTACCGAATTGATTTCTCTGTTTTTGTAATTTGCCGCCTATTTCGGTGTAACTCAGCTGCTTTTCGTGCGTCACATTCGGGCTCCATCGGTAAATGACGTCACCATCGTGTACCTTTGCGTTCGGCCAGCTTCGGTATTCTCCGGATAGGTTCGGTCCTATCCGTAAAGACACCTGCGAAAAGGTGTATATTTTTCGTTCGGATTTCGCCCGTTAGGCGCACTCTTGGCCTGTTGAGAGGTGTTGAGAGAGAGGAAGTCATCAGAAATTGATACGATGAGCAAGCTCTGATAGAACCACTGAAATGCTGTACTTACATTATACGTGAATGCATGTGTTGCTGGATACCCTATGAAACCACAGTCATTTCGGAATCACACATACTAACAAGGAGCCATGCACTTTTGGGAATCATGATAATGAGCGCTCTCGATCAAGTTCAATGTAATAAATAGGGGGTATTACGGAGACTCCAACGAAACAATGCCAAGGAAGCTAGTTTACTATTCGGGGCAGATCTGAGGTCCCTGTGACATGCTTCCTTGCACGCATGACGAAAATGATGTCAGGTAAATAGTAGCACGGGTAGCAGAATGACCCAGTTACAAAACATACTTACATGCTGACTGAAAATCTACCCAATATTCAGAGGCGAATTCGCCTGACCCCACTAGTTAGCCCATATGCTGACATGAAGGCACACTGACGAAAGTTCTTCTGCAGAACCATAGGTAAAACTAGAGAAGGTGATAGAAACGAAAAATTGTCAAACTATAGTTGACTGTGATCAGGTTGACAAGTGAAGGAGAAAAGAGGGTCCATAAATACATGACTTGATTTCGACTCACCATCGTAATCCCCATGGGTTTAACCCTCTCCAATGGGTTACGTAACATGCACTGGTAATGACTAATAAATGGTTGAGACAAAAACGAGGGAACAAAACAAAATTACGCAAATCGGGGATTAAATTTTCGTGGCGTGCTTGAAACGCTAGGAATTTTGACAAGGCGAACGAATAACAATGATCACAATACGGCATGACACAGCCACAGAAGCAAAAATCTTGGAAAAACTACGAACTGGAACTTGCCTACGTCACAGCCAGACTTCAGGATGGCTGCCTTGCCTCCACCTTCTACACTTTCTCTTTGACAAACGATAAGCCCTAGAGTCCCTTTATACCCAGAGTTGAGACAACTCGATTATCAGCTGACTAGCAGCCGGCCTTGGCTGGCCATGGAGGCCAAAACGAGTGCACCCGAACGAACGATATTGATAGAGTACCTGTATAGGGAGAGTAGCGACAGATCGGTTCATGGAGGGCTTAGGGCCCAAAAGTGCAGCCTGCAGCCACCCTTCTGAGCAACTTCTAACACACAAAATTTCACTGCCAGCCTACAGATTTCAATTCTAACCAAGATGGCTAAGAATGTATATAAATGAGCGTTCTTTCGCAAAAATAAGTAAATTTATGCAAAAAGTAAACCAAATACATGCTTTCTAAACGACGGTTCGTAACAATTGTATTTGTAAATCGCTCTGGACATTCGAAATTCATAGGCTGGCTGCCCTTTTGGGCCCTAACTTTATTCGCGGAGGCATCCGCGGTGAAGGCCTGATGGACTTTCGGAGTTTCAGATCTGTCGCTACTCTCCCTATACAGGTACTCTAGATATTGAGGGAAAAGGATCAGGAATCCTGCGATGTCTGTCACACAAAAACAACAACATCAACAAAGTGATCAATTAAAAAGAAAATGAGATTGGTTTGTGAATAATTTCTTAATCTATTTTCATTTTGCACCGATGGAAATAACAATTTACTCTTGATAAACTACAATTAGGTAATATTTTCATTATTCTTGTTCACATTCGAGGTACCGCCATCTTGGTGCACTCGTTTCGGCCTCCATGAGCGAGAACCAATCAGAATTGGATTTTTTTTTAGGCCACTTTCAGCCCAACCAAAAGTGAGTTGTCTTAACTCTGGGTATAAAGGGACTCTAGTTGAAAAGAAGCTTCATTTTTTGCTTTTAGCCCTCCGTCTTCATGTCTTTGGTCATAACATCATTAATATAAACTTCGAAGGATTCTGCCTTTTTCTATTTCACTCGAGGGGAAGTGTCCCCTCCCGGACTCTCTTCCCCACCCGGTGACTGACGCTGCGCTGTGCTGAACGGTTCAGCCTGAACCTTTCCCCTACGTCTGACCGTTCCCCACTCCTCTGTCAATCGAACCATATGCCACCGCTTACGTATTGTCGCTCGCCCACCCAGGTACCTACCGGCCAGCGGTCAGTTGATGATAAATCTCGCTCATGCTCCTACCAGGGACGAGTTCTATAGGACGCCGTTCTGTTGTGAGCGGGTGATTGCAGCGCATTCTCGCGTAGGATCCTAGTCAACTCAGAGGATCCTTCCCCCCGAACCTCGACTCATCCATCGCCCGCTCCAAAAGTGAGGTTAAGCCGGAGATTGAAAAATAACACATAAGGCGGCTGAATTCTTGAAAAATAAGTATATTTTTGGCGTTTTTCGACCCCTTTCGACAAGGAAGAGCCTGCCGCATGTAATAATACAGTGAAAAATTCGATTTTTTGCAGTTATACGCGATCCTACGGATTTTAATGAAGTCCAACAACTGATAACAGCAGTGAGTTGCGAGGATCCTACGCGAGAATGCAGCACTAGTACCTGCTCACGAATTTTTACATTGACTCTTACGGGAGTCCAGGGTCCTATAGAACTGGTCCCTGCTCCTACGCAGTAGAGTCCCTTTATACCCAGAGTTAAGACAACTCACTTTTGGTTCGGCTGAAAGTGGCCTAAAAAAAAATCCAATTCTGATTGGTTCTCGCTCATGGAGGCCGAAACGAGTGCACCAAGAT